GAAGTAATGAACAGAGCCATCCTCCGCGGACTGAAAGCACGACTAGACCGAGCTAAAGGGTTGTGGGCAGACGAGCTACCAAGTGTTCTATGGGCTCACCGAACCACAGAAAAAACCGCCACAAGAGAGACCCCCTTCAACCTCACCTACGGCACCGAAGCGGTAATCCCGACGGAAATCGAAATATCTACACTGCGACTAGAAGCATATGACGACCAGACAAACGGAGACGAGTTACGCACCAACCTCATCCTACTGGATGAGGTAAGAGACCTTGCGCACATCCAAACAGCGGCCTACCAGCAACAAGTAGCTCGGTACTACAACGCCAGAGTAAAGAAGCGGAGCTTCCGCGTCGGCGACCTGGTCCTCCGTAAGATCATGGTACCCGAACCCGGCGTGGGTAAACTCGGACCAAATTGGGAAGGACCGTACAGAGTAAAGAAAGCACTCAGGGGGGCATACGAGCTCGAAACCTTAGAGGGTAAGCAAGTACCCCGAGCATGGAACATCATCGACTTAAGGCGATACTACCTATAGACCACCAAGCGAAGTGGGACATTGTCAACTAGGACGTCGAGCTAACAAAGGAACCTCGGCATAGGCAAGCCAAGAAAAAGCCAAAGGCGAAAAGGAGAACAAACTAATGTGGACCGGCATCTTAGAGCACCAAAACAGGCCGTGCGAGTGCGGTAACCCAGGCTGGAGACAGACCGGATGTATGGTCAGTTCGACAAATATGTTCAGTTCGGGAGAAAGAACAACCAACACTTAGCCAAAAGGAAAGACGTTCCATTTCAAAATAAGGAGTACATTTCAAAAATAAATAAATAATAATAATAATAATTTTTACAGGCCCGGAGCTACTTCTTCATTATCAAAAGGCACTTCAACAACACCCGAAGGCCCCGCCTCGCCCTCAGAATCTGGCTCACCATCCGCAGCATTGGCCATCTCCTGAGTTATGCGCGAAGTGGATATGGCACTGATGTCAAGTTTGGGGTACGTATTCCGGATCATCCACCAGCTTAACTTGAAACCCCTTTGGTACGAATCCACCATCAGGTCGTCAAAGCTCGGCGAGGCGATATAATCATCGACAGCCTTCTTCTTGGCATCTTCAATACCCTAAGAGAAGATCCGCGTCCTCTCCCTGATGTCCTCCTGAAGATATTCGACCTGATGCTGCAGATCTAGCCTCAAATCTGCCATATGTTTCACTATGACTCCCATGGCCTCGGCATCTCTCTGAGACCTCGCCTGCCTGGACTGTGCAGCACGAGCAGTCGCATCAGCAGCGCGAAGAGCCTCTTCGGTAGCTCGCGCCTGCCTCGAGCTCCTTTCCACTTGGACCGCCAAGGTGTGAATAAAAGAGTTCACCTACCAAAAGGAAAGAACAAATGATTAAAAGAACCAACAGCAAGAAGGATAAAAGCAGAAGAGCTCAAAAAATCAGACTTATCACCATGGCATGAGTAACAGCACGACAGGCCACCTAGTGTAGAGGGAGATCAGTCAACGCTGTGACCTCCTCGGGAAAAATGGCCTCCTTACTCTTCTGAAGAGCGTAGGTCGACGACAACACACTCCTGAATTCCCCTGGGGCCCCCGAGCCCGAGGGCCCAGCTCGCGTAT